GGGGGGTGCGTTGCCGGGAGACGGAAAGTTTGGGAACCGGAGCAGGCATCCCTGGGGAGAGGGCCCGGGGGCTGACGGCCCTGGGGATGGGGAAGGAGCAGGAGCTGTTGGAGGCGGCCCGTACTGGGCACCTCCCGGCGGTGGAGAAGCTGCTCTCCGGGAAGCGGCTCTCCTCAGGCTTCGGGGGCGGCGGCGGCGGCGGCGGCGGCGGCTCCGGAGGTGGCGGCAGTGGCGTCGGCGGCGGCGGCCTCGGCTCTTCCAGCCACCCTCTCTCCAGTCTGCTCAGGTAGGTACGCGTTGGGGCTGGGCCTCTGCTTGGAGACCTCCTCTACCCTGCCCGTCTCTTGGGTCCCCAGAGAGGTTGGGACTCCTGAGACCTGGGCAGGGTGGGCTTGTGGCGTGCCCAGGGAAGAGGGCAGGCAGCCCGCGGGCCGGGGAGCGGGAGGAGGCGCGCTCTCCTAGTCTCGCGTCCTGGCTGGGCTGCGAAGAATAGTGGGAGTGCCCAGGTGGCAGCCTTCGCCGCATGGCTTAGCCCGGCTTTGCCCTCCTCTTTCTGGGGTCCTGCTGTTGTATCTCACCAAAGTCACTTGAGAGAGAGAGAGAAAAAAAATACAAATATTATATTACATATGCATATAAAAATCTCTCTCACCTTCTGCAGAAACCCCACCGCTTTGCGGAATCTCGCTACTGTCCTGGGGGACGTTCTGTTGATTCTCTTAGGAGCTTGGAACCTTCCATTAGGCTGTGCAGAATTTGGCTTTTGTCTGTATTAAAATTGTCTCTGGATTTATCACGTTCAAGGTGTTCCTTTTTGAACCTCTCTGGGTGCTTGAAGCTAAAACTGGGGTTCCTTGCAGTGAAGCTCATTGGATTAATGTATGTGGCATATGTAGGATTCATGGGGGCTTATTCATTCAGAAATAAAGGTTAAGAAAGACTTGTTCAGGAAACTGAGGAGTGCTTCAAACTTTTTCAAGGTCTCTTGTTAAACACTTGAATGTGAGCTGTAAGGATTGAGGGGGAAACGATCACTTTTGTGTGGCTTGAAAGGGAATTTGGAGGTGCTTTGTCAGTGTGAGTTAAATGTGTTGGCTCAGCAGCGTTTTCATAGCCTGTTTTCTTTTCCTTCCTTGTTCTTTGAGGTTTTTAAGAAGTGGAAGTTCATTTAGAAATGGCTTCGTTAGCTTTTGTTCCCTATTACTTTATGTAACTTCGATTTGAATGAGCTTGGACCAAGGAAGCCTAAGACTTTAATAAATTGTTAGGTTTTAAGAACTGAGTACCAACCCAGGTCTTTATAGGAAGATTTTAAAAACAACTATAAGAGAGGAACCCTTTCCAGGAGCTTCTTTTTAGGAGGCAAAACCCAGTACTGTTTGCTGCTATTTCTCCAACCCCTTGAACAATGCTGACTCATAGTAGGTACTCAAGATTTGTATCAATTAGAGGACAATAAGTTTCTTTCTTCTTTTTCTTTTTTTAAAAAAATTATTTTCAAATAGTGGCTGAAATTAAGTCTAAGGTCTGAAGCACTTATGAGTTAAACAAATTACCAAACAAACTGATGGTGGTACTTGGTTTAATTTTAATAGTTCAAAGAACAGAGACATCACTTACTAATAAGATGGAGGTCAGGGCTTCCAGGAGGAGGACTTAAGGTAACCTTGAAGGATCTGAGGGTTTGGTTAGCTGAAGTATGGTGGGAAGGTTCCAGGTGGACTTCCCATGGTCAGAGGCAAAGAACTAAGAAGTAAGAAAGCAAACTTTTTTGGTGCTTATTGGTAAGGTGACCAGATGTCCCACTTTTGGCAGGACAGTCCTGATTTTTAACAATTTGTCCTGAGTCCCATGGCATTTTTTAAAAGTCCTGATATTTGGAAAGAATGCACAACAAGCTAGGGAAGGGCAGGAGAATGGGAAGGGAATATACGGTTTTCTGCTGCTGAAATAGTTAATGTAACTCCATTTGGGAATGAAGAGGTTAATGTAACTTCATTTGGAAATGAAAAGGCTAATGTAAACTCTCTACTCCCCTCCTGGGCAAGGTTGCTCAGGTGGAATCTGTATCAGAAGGGTACTGGCTCCCTCCCTCGCTTTTAGGCAAGGACAATTAGCTCAGAAGGAGCCAAACTGTCTGGAACAAACTAGTAGCCTCCCCTGCTAGAGGGTCCCTAACCATAAACAGCTCAGCCAGTAGCCCCCCCCCCCCAAGTCAATGGTGTCCTGCTTTACCAATGTTAAAATCTGGTCACCTTATTATTGGGCACTAGGAGAACCTCCTGCCTGGACCCTTGAGTGGTTGGGCATGATAAAGGTAAATAATTATAAATGGGCATACTTCCACTAGCAGAATGACAGTCTTTCTTACGTTTATATTCCCAGTCCCCAGGTCCATGCCTGATGACTCAGATGTTCAGTAAATGTACATTGAATACATAAGTTGGGTTATGAATCTTTGATTACTTTTTTTTCTGAAGACAAAGTCTACTCTGTGGATCTGTGTAGAGTACCATGGTGTCACAGCTCATAGCAACTGCAAACTCAGGCTCAAGCGATCTTCCTGCCTCAGCCTCCCCAGTAACTGGGATTACAGGCATCTGCCACAGTGCCTGGCTAGTTTTTCTATTTTTTTTTTTTAAGACAGAGCCTCAAGCTGTCCCCCTGGGTAGAGTGCCATGGCATTACAGCTCACAGCAACCTCCAACTCCTGGGCTCAAGCGAGTCTCCTGCCTCCGCCTCCCAAGTAGCTGGGACCACAGGCGCCCACCACAACGCCCAGCTATTTTTTGGTTGCAGCTGTCATTGTTGTTTTGGCGGGTCCGGGCTGGGGATTCGAACCCGCCACCTTAGGTGTACGTGGCTGGCGCCTTAGCCGGTTGAGCTATAGGTGCCAAGCCAGTTTTTCTATTTTTAGTAGAGACAGGGTCTTGCTCTTGCTCTTGATCAGGCAGGTCTTGAACTCTGGAGCTCAGGAAATCCACTGGTCTCTGCCTCCCTGAGTGCTAGGATGACAGGCATGAGCCACTGCACTCTGCCTCTTTTCAACCTCTTGATAGAGACTTGTGTGTCACTGCTAGAATGGTGGTGAAGAGGTCATAAACATAAGTGCCAGAGAGCTGGGCCACCAGTCCCGGACCCTCACTTCGATTACTTTGACACTCTGCAGTTCTAATGTCTGAGAGAGAAATACTTTACAAGTTTGGAGTTGCCTCTGTCTCTAATGAGTTAATGATGTAGTGTTTGGAGATTCTCCAGAGATTCCTTAATCCCTAGTATATCCTGCTGAAGTGAGAAACTTTCACATATCTCTCTCCTTGAAGTATAGGTCAAGTTATTCATAGTGCACTCACTCAGAGGCTGCTAAAATTCTTCTGAAGATTTAACTACCATAGAGTTAAACAAGACTAGGAAATCTGTTGAGCACAGTGATTTTTTTTGTTTTTTTTTGTTTTTTGGCCAGGGCTAGGTTTGAACCCACCACCTCTGGCATATGGGGCCAGCACTCTACTACTTGAGCCACAGGCGCTGCCTGAGCACAGTGTTTTTACTTTGGGCCTCTTGTTAAAGTGTTTGGTCTCTGCCATAAAGTGTGAGTGGTGTCTTCTTTCCCCAGAGTTAGAGAGCTGACTCCTTCTGACTTGTTCCTGTGTCTGTTGTAGGGAGGGCTGATGCTTAAGAGCCTCCCCAGCCTCTTGTTCTTGTGACTTATATGGGCAGGAAGGATCTGCAGGCACTAGTTACACTAGGTGTGTTGTTAATTAAAGGTGACTCTAGTTAAACGTAGTGAAAGATTTCTTTTTTTTTTTTTAGATATAGTCTCACTCTGTTTCTTTCTCTGGGTAGAGTGCCATCACATCATTGTACCTCACAGTAACTTCAAACTCTTGGGCTTAAGTGATCCTCTTGCCTCAGCCTCCCAGGTAGCCTGCCACACACCTGTCTAGTTTTTCTATTTTTAGTAGAGACAAGGTCTCACTCTTGCTCAGGCTGGTAGTGAAAGATTTCTTAGCAAGTGGTTTTGGTTTGGAAATAGTAGAGGGTCGGTCCCCTGTGTCCCCAATTCCCCTTCCCTGCTAAAGACTCTGGATTATTTAATGAGAACTTTGAAATCATAGCTTCAGATTTGGCCTTTGTATTTGCTGCCATATCCTACCCCCACTTAATACTGCCAACTGCAACCTGCCTTTGTCTAGGTATTTGAGTGATGAAGTAAAAATGGCAGGCACAGGAACTTATAGCTGCAGTAGATATAAATGTTCCAAACTACATGTGTATTTGTCTGTTTATCTATTTGTGACCCCCTCCCCAAATTCCACAAAAGCTTTTGTGCTTATTCTTAAGCTACAAAATGTCCCCTTTCCCTCACCCTGTCCCTTTTCTCTTATAGTGCTTGGGCTTACATCTTAACTTCTTAAAGCCCTCCCTGATGACCCTAATTCACATAGATCTTTCAAGCTTCTACTTCTTTAGGACGCATCATCTGTAGTGTATTTTGCTTGCCTAGCTTTCACAGTTTATTTCTTTAACCTGTCAGTAATGTTTACATCTAGTAACCCTCACCTGTTGAGACTATACCCGAGGGTCAGAAAGACAGCAAAGAAGATGTCTACTGGGAAAAAGTTGTCATAAGCTGTTCTTCTGACCTTAAGACCGCTTGTACTCAAGCCAGACCACCTGGATTCACTTTCCACCTCCACCATTTACTAGCTACTTGATATTATTCAAATAAACCACTTTGATCCTCAATTTCTGCATCTGTAAAATGGGGATAATATTATCTACCTTATAGGTATTGTCTTAGATAATGTGTATAACTTACTATAATTCCTGGCACATTCTAAGTGTTCAATGCCATCCTGAGTTTAGCATGTACAGTTTTGCCATGCACCTGCTCTGTGTAAAAAGTACCATGCCAGATACATTTTAAATGTGTTCTTTCTGGGCAGCGCCTGTGGCTCAGTGAATAGGCATCGGCCCCATATACCGAGAGTGTTCAAACCTAGCCCCAGCCAAAACTGCAACAAAAAAATAGCCGGGTGTTGTGGTGGGCACCTGTAGCCCCAGCTACTTGGGAGGCTGAGGCAAGAGAATCACCTAAGCTCAAGAGCTGGAGGTTACTGTGAGCTGTGATGCTACAGCACTCTACCAAGGGTGACAAAGTGAGACTCTGTCTCTAAAATAAATAAATAAATAAATAAATGTGTTCTTTCATACTTGGAGATCGGTTTTCTTTTTTTTTTCTTTTTTATTGTTGGGGATTCATTGAGGGTACAAGAACCCAGG